CAGAAAAAAAAGTGCATCGAACAAAGAATCTACCTAATTGTTACATCCCTCTTTTAGTTTTGGTATTGATGTTCTTCTTCAGATCAAAACCTCTCATCATCCCCTTCAACTTTCCCAAACCCTAGATCAAAATTAGCCAAATAACATGAGGAAAAAAAATCTGTAAAAAGAGATGATCAAGACCATGTAAAGAGTTTAATGAATCAAAATTCAAGAGAAGACTTAGAAATATTACATGTTGTTGGAGGACATGGAGTCTGACTGACCTCGCTAACTGGGACGACTCTCACAGCTCCAAGTGAGAGAGTCAAAACTGGAAAATAAAACTCGTTCAAATGCCTGATAGTGGCTTTCCCCTTCCCCGAAAAAGCCAAAAGCGGATGCGTTTTTCTTCACTTTCTTCTACTTTCACTTAAATGTCAATTCCAATTATTTTATTTTCTGTTTTCTTTATTTAATTCACAGTTCCAAATCGATTAAACTCTTGTTTTAAATGGTTAGTTTAGAGTTAGTTTTAAATACAACTTATTCATATCAAATTTTGTAGAGCGGTTTATGCTATAATTATTTTGTTCTTTAGCAATTATTTTTAAGTACTTTTAAATATTTTTATTCCTATCTTGTTAGTTATAAAAATCATATCGATAACATTCGCTTTCTATCGATCAACAAAAATGAACAAAAGCTTAGGAAAAATCTTATTTTCAAGTCTACAGAATTATTGGGCCTGAAAAGTACAAATTGGGTATTAATTAGAGGATGAAGATTTGTTAGTTTATGACAAGCAAGTAGCCTTCACAGTTCAACTGATAGCACTGCTTTGGAAGAGAATTTATTGTATATAGTCAAAATTTAGCATACAAATTTAAAAATGTCAGTTTTTATAAAATATTTCAAATATAGCCAAAACTCCACTTGAATAGACCCAGTTGTCCTTAAAATTTACACCTAATTATGTCAAAAACCCTTTCAAATCTTGTGTCATTGTTGATGAGGTTTTGAGAGTGGTAAACTAGACACGCATTAATGTATATTAGTTACAACCATGGTTGAACAAGGAAGACACCATGAACCATGAACGTACGTCAGCTGCACCATTGTGAAGATGGAAACACGTTCTACTTGTCTACCCTAAATATAAAATTTGAAGAGCTCTACCACAAATATAAAGTTCAAAGAATAAATTAAATTATTGGAACAGATGGGAGCTATGGAAACGACCATTAAATCCAAACGCATTATAATTGCTGGACTATGCATGCCTTTCATGCTCAATATCCATCTCTTAATTAAATAGCTAATTTGATTTCGGTGATCCAACAAATATGCAAAATGCCATGAGAACGTGCAATGGCAATTTCCTTGAAAGTTTCTGCAAAATACCAATTGAATCTTACACAAAAACATACATAAATTGTATTTTTGTGTAATTTTCTTCATGGTCTTGGTTGTAAGTTTGTCAATTATGAATTGAATTTGAGAACAAATACCATATCTCTTTCAATATTTTCGAATTACAATATGGAACCCTAAATTGAAAAGGAACAAAAATGAACGAACAGAAAAAACACATCTCTTTGGTGTGTGGTTTTTTAATTAGAAGGGTAATTTGGTATATTAATGTGAGATTTTGGCTAGATTTGAAAATTTTATAAAAATTGACATTTATAAATTTAAAAGCTAAATTTTGATTATAAACGATAAATTCTTGCTCGGGGAAACCCCACAAGAGAAACAAACAACTACTTGATGTTAATTAATTCTGGTCCACAAGTCAATTTTATTGAGCTTGAAGGAGTGCAAGTGGGTGTAGTTTATCTAAACCCACGGTGGAACCTTCATGGCAAAAACCATAATCCACAGATTCCAATGCTTCTTGCCATCCATCTCCTCTTTCTTTTCTGTTTCCACGCCAACTCTGCTGCAATGAGACAAAGTGTGCTTCGTCATTCCAACATTACAGAATATATAATAGCTTTGATTAGTTCTAACATGTACCATATTTTAAGGCTTCAACTAAACAAATAAAACATGGTCTATATTTCTTTATGCATTTGTGGGTTATTGTTTTTGACAAATTAAGCTCATCAAAGTAATTGAAATATCGCAGTAGCATACACCAGAAAAAATTTACCTGCCACACAATTACAAGAAAGAAAATAATTTACGTCGAAGTTGAAGAGGATTCAGTTTTCTTTGTCGTTGATGGAAATTAATCTATTTTGAATAAAATCCAAAAAAATCCGCATATTATTGAGATTTATGAGTTCAAAATAATTGTAACGACTCGTTCTCAATTTTACGGGTTTTTATAATTTTAATAAGTGAATTTACGAAGATGCCCTTCGAGGTAAATGCATTGACTTTTGTTGACTACTGTGTCGTGTCATATACGACTCATTTTCTTGGCGTATCCTCGTAGTACTCGTCGCTACGGACGTGTGGGAACAAGCGGAATATAATTTGGAGTTATAACGAAGATTCTACGAACCTTTAAACGTCGTGGGCATTTTGGTAATTCGTCATTTGAAACACGTGGTATTTTGGTCTGACCATTGAATGAGTGCCACGTGGGGCCACCCCCACTTTTCTGGAACACTCTCTCTCTTTCTTTTTCTTCTTCTTCAGTAGCTCTTCTCTCTAACTCTCTAACTCTCTTTGGCTCTCTCTTTCTCCTGTGAAACAAATCACCATTATCACCAAAAATTTCAGCTTGTTGAACATCAAAATCACCATTATCTACATGTCTTCACCACCATAAACCCAGTTTTGAGTTTGTTTGTTAGACTACGTGTGAATGACAATGAGATAACAACTAGGTTTCTTGAATTACACATAAACTCATTATGTGAGTTGTGTGGTTGAAGGAATCTGAGATCCTTGATATAATAGGAGTTGTGGAGTTTAATTATTGTGCAGCCAATCTAACGGGAGTACTTATCAAGTATTTACTGAGAGATAAGAATCACGATGGGACTTGAACTTGTTATGAGGATAGAGTTTATCACCACTACTGATAATTACTACAAATATCCAATAGTAATATCTAGAAAAATATGAAATCCAACGGTCTAGAAACCACTTATTTAACAGTTTCGATTACTCAAGCCGATATTGTAAAATCGGGTCCAAACAGATTCCTACAGTTATCTGGTACCAGTAGGAATTCATTGGTTTCGCCAATTTGGCAATGATATAAGTAATTCGAAGTTTCTGAATCCGATTCAATGAGGGATACTTCAGGACCGAAAAGAGAGCACACAGTGCAACCCTCATCCACTTTCTTTCATTCTTCATATATATATATATATATATATATATATATATCATTCACTATCTACCAGTCAAGAAAGGAACAAAATCTCAAGAAAAATCTACACTTGTTGAAAAGTCTGGTGGGTAATGAATGCCCACAGTACATTGGCAGAAGTTTTCAGCATTGGTAGAAGTTTTTAATGCCCATGCAAAGTAAAATTGAATTTGTAAATGCATGGAGGTTGTATTGTCAAAGATGTGTGCTTGGAGTTGCTTTATAAATAGAGCACTCCGTATGCTTTCAATAGAGGCAGAAAAAGAAAGAGAGGAAGAGGAGAGATGAGAGAATACATAGAGTTATCTTTGTACTCCTATTATTCCAAATTATAATGAAAGCACCACTGCTGCCCGAGGACGTACTCCAGTCACACTGACTGTAGAGGAACCTCGTAAATTTTGTGTTTTGTTTTATTTATTCCACTGCACACACACCGTCAATTTTACAACAATACTTATTTAATGGATAGTCAACAGAAAGAAACAAAATCTCAAGAAAAATCTACACTTATTTAATGGATGGATGGATGCTCTTGACAGAACTATGTACATAATACAAATATACTGACATAATATCGCCTCATGTCAATAAAATAAAAACATGTGGAAAAGACACTGACACTTTATTTTATTGACACGAAACAATACTTTGATAATATAAGTGTGCCATATATGTAGGTCCTTCTCATTCTTGTGACTCGATTTTATGCTTGAGATAATTTTCTGAATTTTCTATCTGCATAGAATGCATAAATTAAGATCATATAAGTTATTTCAAAAGCACTATTCTCATTTGTTACTGAATTTATCAAAAATCTATATTGTCATCGTCATTCATATCAGTTTAGCTTAAGAAATTCTTTATTTAATATAAGTGAACACAATTATTGTTAGACCAAACACTAATTGTGATCTTGACAACTTTTTTTTAAGTAATCTTCGGTGTGAATGTAAGCAAATGAAACTTTGTAATCTACAAATGTAAACAGCTAATCAAATTGTTTGCCATGCCTTGAAAGTTTCGCCTAATATACTGTTTAAAGAGATGCAGATACAAGTTCGAATCCCGATCCCGTAACTTAAACTGGGTTATTGCTTTTCAGATGAGATAAAATTGATACACTTCAATCTTTAAAAAGTAAATAGTAGTAGTAGTAGTAATAATAATAATGATAACAAAAAAAAAGTCCAATGAATACACATTTAGCAACCCAATTTTGCCACCAATGGGCTTGTCTTCGTCAACTTTAGTATGACATGATTCCCTTTCAGTGGTGCCTCCTGTTTTGTTATCAGATTATGCTGGTTTTCTGGTTTTCGCTTCTCAACTTAATGTGCATTTCGGCATATAGGTTTGTTTGACTTTCTTACGTTCTTTTCTTAACCTGTGATGTTGCTTGATCTGTTTTGCAGGTTTAGACCTTTTAGGATTGCTTTTAGAGGGGTTAGGTTTCATATCTCCCTCCCCTTTTTTTTTCCATGTACCATTATTGTTTCATTTCCAGAAGAGTAAGGTTTTATGTCCACTTTCTTGTTCATGTATTTTTTTTTTCTTTTTGTTTCCTTGTACTATGAGGGGGTTAGGTTTATGTTCCCCTTTTTTCTTTTTTCTTTATCAATCAAATTTCCCTCGTACCATCGAGGTTTCCAAAAATTAAAAAAGAAAAAGAAAAAAAAAAGAACCCAAGTGAATCAGGTCGGCATGGTTTCAAACCTTCACAAGGAAGAAGACACCGCAACAAAACCCCACAACTAAGGGAAATAGCCTCCCACAAAAGTTGACAAAATTGATCTAATGAAAAAAAGACAAAAGGCCTTACAAGTTGTAACATGCATGCTTGCCCTAGTACTTGAGAATCAGATGATCAACATGTCTTGTACTATACCAATTTTAATTACCATGCCTTGCTTGCTCCGAATGATAACACTTGGCAGATAATCGGCAGAGGGTCAAAGTCTGTACGAGATCTTCCACATCCTCCTTAAACACTAGACGAAGACCACATTGATGCAGTCCTAAGCCTGGGCTATTGGACCCAAAAGTTGCCCTGACTAGATTGCATTGATTCAGCGAACCAGAAAATTTAGCACGTGGTGCATACGTAAACCAAGTGAAGTTGCATGCATGCAACCACAAGGCTTTGTTTGTATGCTCTAAACCATGGAGTCTGACATTAGGAAGATTGGTGTCCAGATAACAATAAAGCGCACGACTAAATTCTGAATCCGGAGTGTCAAGAATGACGGTTGGATGTTCGTGGATCGAGGCATAAGCACACGCAGCAATACCCATCCAGTTAGCATCATCGAACAAATTTGGAGGTAGTTGTATCTGTGCAGAACCGCCTTTATTCAAATGCACGAACCACTTGGGAATTTCAATTCCAGGGAACCTACATGTACACTCAGCCACAGACCAGTCCTGTAAATCACAGTTACATATGTGAGATTTATATGATAGTGAGAGAGGGAGAGGGAGGGAGGGAGAGGGAGGGAGGGAGGGAGGGAGAGAGAGAGAGAGAGAGAGAGAGAGAGAGACCTGATTCCTGTAATGGCTCAAGATCAACTGAAACAGCTCTCTTTCATGCTGCGAGGAACTGAATTGTCTACTGAGTTCTCTATCAATTTTACGACCTTGCCATCTTACCAAAGTTAGCCAATCTTCAACCATTTTTTTATTATACTTTTCAAAGAGGGTGTCAGAGCTGCGCAATATGCACTGGATGATTGTCTGTACAAATCCTTTTAAATCTTGCCGGTAAAAAACACGGTACCCGCACACTTGAACCTCAACGGCAGAGTTGTCAATTCTGAACAAAGTGCTACTTGAACTTGATCGAGTGAACCATTCCGGCAACTGTGCCTTTGGTATGTAAATAATCCAAAGTTGACTTTTATCACATATAAAATTGGTCGAGCATAGGGACAACTCCGTATGAAAATTGCCCGAATTTACTTGACAAGAAACTTTATAACCCCCTTTTACTTTATGCCAGTCCAGTACTGAAATTGACACACATAGAGCAACTCCCATCCATTTCTTATTTTTGTAGAGAGTTTTAGGCAGCTGGGTTGAAACGGAGGACCCGACTTTAGGATTGAACCAAGCTGGGCTTCCACTTAAACCAAATTGATAAAATTGACCCATATGGTTTAGTCCCTGCTGGAAAATGCAGAAATGATTAATTAATGTGTATCTGTGTGTATGTGTGTGCGCGCAAGATGAGAGAGAGAGAGAGAGAGAGAGTGACCTCCAGGTATCTTGGAAGAAGTGACTCAATATTCCTCCTTAAAAGAATTGTCGAACCCTTTTCGGCAGATGTAAAATTCTCCCTGCAACCAGTTATAACAAATGGGAAGAAAAAAAAAACAAAGGATTACTTTATACATACAGAATCACATAATGATCAAGAAGATTCTAGACGCAACATAGTACTGGTCAGAATATCATACCATTCCAAAATGTTATCCACCAAATTAAACCACCCATATTCAAGTTCTCTATCCTTAATAACCTCAATTGGATTGCAGTTATCTTGAGACGGGATTTGATGTTGAAAACCTTCATGATCATCCTGCATAGGTTTTTGGATAAACCCTGTAACATCTTGCTCGTACACTAGACGAATACCACATTTTTGGACCTTCATGGATGGGTTGTCTGTCTCAAATGAAGCCCACATTGCACCTGATTTATTTAACATCTTCCGAAATCCCAGACAAGGTACATAAAACACAGCACAGACATTAGAACTAGATTTAACTAAGTTGCGGTAGTTTTCGGTGTCAAAGACTAATGGCTCCACTATGAATTCACTAGTTCCGAATTTGCATCGATAGAAATAATTAGAAGGTTCTGAACTCGGTCCAATGTGAGAAACAGCAGGATCTCCTTTGACTGAGAAAACAGCACACAATGCAACCCCAATCCATTTTTTATCTTCATCCAAATCTGGAGGTAGAGGGATTGCTATGGATTCTCTGGTAGCAGTATCAGTGTACCACTCTAGAATTTCAGTACAAGTAGAAACAGATTGAAAGGGCGATGCCGTAAAATCCAACCCCTGAAACGTAAAACAGAAAACGATTAAAAGTTATAAAAGACAGATGACCAGTGTCTGTGCAAGTTGTCGCGTGTCATACTGAGAGATAGAAATAACCCTATAAAAGAAGAGAGAGAGAGGGAGGGAGGGAGGGAGAGAGAGAGAGAGAGAGAGAGAGAGAGAGAGAGAGAGAGAGAGAGAGAGACCTCAAGGTCTTTTTGACGCACTTGATCTGGTACTGAAAACTCATCGACTGCTTTCCATTCTGGATGCTCAACAGATGATTTGAGACAACTGACAGTTGTAGTTTTCATTCTCCCTATAGTTGTTGAAGTCCACGAAGTTAAATCCTTGATGTTTCTCGAGGAAGGAAAAAGTTGTTGATTCTGAGAGGGAATGAGGCGACTGATCGTAGTCATTCCCGTGTCCTTGGAAGTCCATGTTTTGAATTGACTTTTGAAATCAATCAGTGCAATGCAATCATCCGCATTCACTTGTCGAACACTTAAAGGAAGCTTCTTAGGCAGCGATTGAAGCTTACTACAATGGCTCACGTTCAGAGATTTAAGATTACAGAGTTGAGAGATACCTTCTGGTAAGGAAACAAAATTATTACCACTTAAATTTAAGATTTCTAAGGAGCATAAGCTGCCAAGATCATCCGGAACTTCTCCCCCTGTCAGATTGCATTCACTCAAGTTTAGCTTTGTTAAGGAAGTTAAACCTGAGAATGAAGTAGGCAACAACAAACTCAACGGAGCTTGGACCTTTTTACCCCACCACCAACAATTAAAGAGTGAATGCCATGATTTTGGAGGAAGATCCTTACATCCTTGCAAGGAAAGAAACTGTAGATTCTTCATATCTAGAATGAATGATGATTCTCGTATTGCAGTTCCACTTATATCAAGCCTCTCCAGACATTCCACAGAACTCAGATTTGCGGGCATCTCATCAAGCTCTGAGCAACCTGATAGATTCAGAGATTTCAGAGACGTCAGATACTGAATGGTACTTGGAAGATGCAAAAGGTTTTTGCAGTCTTGTAAGTTCAACAAAGTAAGGCCAGGCAAACACTCAATAGACGTAGGTAATTCCTCAATAGCAGTTCCGTCTAGACGAAGCTCCAACAGGTTTCCCATATATCCTTCAATTTCAGGAAACTTCTTGAGTCTCGAACAGGCAGAAAGTATAAAAATCTCAAGAGATTCCAAGCTAATGGAAGGTGGAAGACTCTCAATGCGTTTGCAGTTTCTCATATTCAACAAAATAAGTTTTTTGAGAACTCCGACGGAGGGGTGAACCTCGACCAATCTTGTACAATCTTGAAGCACTAGCGTCTCAATATTTGGAGCCTCACTGAAGTTTGGGGTCTTGATCAAGTATTTGGAACCACTCAAATCAATAAACTGTAGCATTCTCCAACTCTGATATAATTTAAAGAATAATTAGTCAAATGATATGAAACAAATAAAATGGGTTGATATATTAACAATTATAATAGAAAGCTTACTTGATTTCCCCTCCATAGTTCTTTAATAAAGCTCGAATGCATGATGAGTTCAACAAGTTTATTTGATTGAAAGTTCGATGGAAAGGAACTTAAAGGACATCCATGCCATTCCAAAAGCTGTAACTCATTTGAAAGATATTTGACACACCCAGAAAATTTCACATTACTAATTCTGAGCAATCTTAGCTTGGGCATCTTTGGGAAGGGATCAACATTCCAGAAAACCTCCTCTTCTTTTGGGAAATTCAAGAATATACCTTCAACCGCAATCGTTCCCTAATGAAGAAGAAGAAAGAATTAGTTGCAGGACATACTGTAAAATATTACGAAGATGATAGTAAGTTCTAACAATCTTGGAACCTATATTTATACTAACATTTTACCTCATCATTTACAAGCATATGGATGATATCTTTGGGAAGCCACAACCTGCTACGTTTGCCCGGCTCTTCACTGCATTCTCGACGAACAATCTCCCAGCCTAATTCTTGTATCAAATCATGCATCCACAACTTTCTTCCGAACAGAGTTAGTAGAGATTTTTCCATGAGAACTGCTATATCAATGTCTGGACGATAGCCGCAATTACTTTCCAGTATTCTTATTACGTGATCTTTATCCTCCCCTTTAAAGAAACATGCAATGTCCAAAAATACGGTCTTTTCTATGTCATGTAATGCATCAAAACTAACTTTAAGCACATCAGTAATTCTTCTGTCAGGATTTTCTTTTAGTCTGTCCAAAGCACTTGACCATACTTCTATGCTTCTACCAAAGAGAAATGAACCCAAAACTTCAATAGCTAATGGGAGGCCATTAGCATATTCTACAACATTCTTTGATAGCTCAAGAAAGTCTTCTCCGACCTGGTCCTTCTTGAATGCTTTCCGACCAAAGAGCTGAAGAGCTTCGTCATCAGTTAACGGCTTAACCTTATACATTTTATCCACTCCATATGTGCGTAGTAAATGCTCATCCCTTGATGTTATTATGATCCTACTCCCTGAACCAAACCAACTATGACCACACAATGCTTCCAGTTGTTCTAATTGATCCACATCATCAAGAATGACAAGAACCATTCTAGTACGTAGTCTCTGTCTCATCTTTCTCATCCCCATATGGATATTATGTACATCTACATTACTCTCAAACAGGATATCTGAAAGAAGTTGCTTTTGTAAATGGACTAGACCTTGTTTCTCAGCTACCTCTCTAACATTGGCAAGAAAGCTGTAAGCTTCAAATTGAGAACGTATCTTATCAAAAACTACTTCTGCAATGGTTGTCTTACCCATGCCCCCCATCCCCCAAATCCCTAACACACTTACATTGTTCAACCCCGTATCTAAGCAAGAAAGCACTTCTTTTACGCGAGAATCCATCCCAATTAAATCTGTATGTATACTTGAGATTGTTTGATTTACTTTAGTGAAAATATATCTCACAATATCTTCAATAATTTTGGATTCATATCTGCAAAAAGTAAGACTGATAAGTAACCACCTCATGGTATGTTAATCAGCACCACTGCACCAATCAAAGTGATAAAATGGAATGTTTTATATTGTATGTTTTTCCATGAGTAAATTTGGTAAAACTCCCAAGCCGAATTTTCTTTTTTTAAAACGCCCTATACCATAATTTCAAAAGCATACAATCTGTAGCCTAAAAAAATCATTTTAATGTGCTCGAACTATGCCTTTGTTTTAGGCTTTTTGCCTGTAGGAAACATTAATATTTTTCGAACCACAGGCTTAGATTTGTTTTTCAGTCCTTTTAAATTTTGTTTCTTTAATTATTTTGAAGTGGTCAGACAGCTGGCTTAACTACGAAAAAGATATTAAAAGCAGCTTACCCATCTTGCAAATGCCATCCAGAGAGATTGGCTACTTGAAGAAGAGCTGTTCTCCACCTTTGCAACTTCTCTATATTTTCTTTAAAGGCTTCTTCATGCTTGGAGAAGGCTGTCCCGAAATACCCTGTTTGTTTTCGTACCTCGGATGGATGCACGTCATAGAAAACGGGGAGTATTGTCTGCCCCATCACTTTCATGCGTTCAACTGCCTTTGCAAGCTGATCCAAGCACCATGCTGAATTGGCGTAATTTCTTGAAAGAATGACAAGTACAAACCTGGATTCTTCGATTCCTTTCAAGACTGTTGGGGAGATGGCTTTTCCCCTCTCAAGTTCTTCACCATCTCTAAACGTCAATATTCCCTTCCGGTTCAAAGCAGCATATAGATGATCCGTAAAGTTTCTGCGTGTGTCTTCGCCTCTGAAACTGAGGAAAACATCGTATGTCCATCGAGAGGTTAGAGAAGAGAAAGAAGAAGAAGGAATATCATTTTGGGTGGTCATTGCAGGACTAGGGCAGGGTGTAAAGGTCTGTTTTATGAAAAATATCAATCCAAATGGTGTATGCAAAATCTGACAATCGGAAGAACACAAGCATCTGTTTAGCTCTTTCAAGGCTAGTTCCGTGTGAGGCTTAAAACTGCATTATTTGGGGCAATAGCCGAAGCACAATCCACGTGAAATATGCTAGTACGAAAGTTGAGGTAAAAAAAAAAAAAGTTGCGGTCGAAGTTTTACGAAAGCGATGGTCTGATTACTGATTAAGGAGGAGGAATCAACACTAAAAAGCATCAGAATGAGGTTCTAGGAAACGTGGTGGGAACAACATTTAGCTTTAGCTGCTTTAATAAAAATCATCAACATTAGCATTACTTTTCAAAATGCGGCAGCTACTTTTTTCATGAGCTTTCACATAACTGTTGCAATGTATCACTAATAAAAAAACTTCAGAGCTAGTCCCTTTAATCTGTTCAGTGGATCTAAAAACCTACCAACCATGTTTTTTTTCTTCTTTTCTACTAATCCCATGTTATGACCTGTCCCTAAATTTACGGTTTTAATAAATTTAAAATGAGAACTTACGAAAATGCCTCTCAAGGTGAAATCATTGACTTTTGTTGACCCTTGTATCGTGAGACGTATAACTCATTTTGTCAGCGTACTTTTGTAGTACTCGTTGCTACAAAAGCATAGGCGAGAGCGGAATTAAATTTGGAACTAAAATGAAGATTTTAAGAAATTCGAATCATCGGGGCATTTTGGTAATTTTAGCATCTCGGGAGATATTTTTCTATTTCGTCTTTTCTTGTCTTGTTTGGTGAGCTGATGGGGCCCACCTTTGCTTTTTGGTCTCCTAGTCCTCTCAGTTTTCCCTTTCCTTTCTCTCTTGCCCCATGAACCGTTTCTCTCCCTTAACTCTCAACTCTCTCTTTTCTCATCTCTCTCTCATCTCTCCCTCTCTATGTGAATCACCCTCCGCGTGGGCACAACACAAACAAACAACAACAATGATAGCGCCACCTCTATCACCATGAATCCAAAAACGATGGAAAGCCCCCCAAACCCTTTCCTCCATCATCAAGTAGAAAACATAATACTGGAGCATCTGGCAAGAATAATAAGTTTCTGAAAAAAATTGCTAAACATTCTTACAAATTCAATTGTTAAATGTTACACTGCAACCCAAGATAAAGATAAAGTATATAGTTCGTGTGAAATCCCATCCCCATTCACTGTTTAAAATTTTGTATTCGTAGTTTCGATGCATTATATTGTTTTTTATAAGTAAAAGTACGAAATTGTCCCTATTGTATTAAACAGAATTCCTCGCGGACGTATTTAATCCTTTCAAGATTTTCCAGATTTCTTTATATATTCGGATAGTACGTCTCGATATGAATGCGTGAGTGCAAACATAATGTAATTTGGGGTTATAACGAAGAAGTTATAAACGAGCAAAGAAAAAGGCAAAATGGTCATTTGATCATTATCTGGAAGGCTCCAAATTTGTTGAAGCAAAGATCAGTGAAGCCACGTGTGTGGCTATGTTGGAAAGGAAATGAGAGAAAAGGATGGGTGCAGACCAATGAGAAGGGAGAGCAAGGAGGGGAAGGAGGGAAGAAGGGAAGGGAGAACCGGTTGACCGGGTTCCTTCCCTTTGACCCGTGACCCGACCTGGTTCCCTTCAAATTTTCCGACTATTTTTCTTTGATTTTTCCAGCGAATTGTGTGAAATCCCGTTCCTGGATTTGATTGTTATAATCTACGTATTTGTATTATTGAGATTTTATATTATTTCTCGAGAATTTATTTTAAATTGTCTGAATTTAGATTTTAACTAAACTAGTTATAGAGTGAAGTTTGGAAAATTGTTATTTACTAGTTGACCTTTTGAGGTTACAAGTAACGTTTCTGAATAGAGCTCGATCCCAAGAACGCATAGGCGAAAGCTGTTTGCGAGTCCGGATTATAACGGTATAGTTACGGACGTTTGAAGTTGTGATACTATAGATTTTAGGAATTAATTAATTCCCACTTTGTGGGTAGGAGGCCAATCAGATATTTGGGTTAAGGGGCCAATTAGTTAAAAGAGGGAGGGGACGAATCAGATTTTGGGGGGTGGCAAATGGATAGGCAGCAGCCAATAGAAGGGAAAAAAGAAGAAAAAAAAAAAAAAAAAAAAAAAAGGGGGGGGGAGGGACCTCCCTCTTCCTGTCGACCACACCCACGACAAAACCGGTTTCGACCCGATTCTAATTCCGGCCAATTTCTGCCATTTTTCAGGGGAAATTCACCCATCCAACACCTGAAAACTACTCCATAACCTCCCCTTTACCACCTCCACCCAAATTTGAGGGTTTTTAGGCCCAAAATCATGAGGAACTCCACCGGAGCACCGGAGGTGCTCGATGGCGATTCCGCCGTTCTGGAGAGTTTCACCACCCACCACCACCCTTACTCAACTCCCCTTGGACCCAGGAATAAGACCCATCAGGTTGTAGGGGCGTTGGAACACCAAGGAAGTCGAATTGAAGAACACCCACCTTAGGGTTCCGGCGGTTCGTGGCCAATTTGGGATGTTTTCCGGTCAAATTGGCCTTGGCCGCAGGTATAAAGTTTACTCTACTTGTTGAGACTTTCATTCTTGTAAAATTTGAGAATTTTTGGAAAAAGTCGAATTTCCCGTTGTGTGACATTTGATTTATGAAAATTCTGTTGGTTGAATATATTATCGTTAAGGTCTACCACTTGATTATTCTAACAATTGACGATCTTACCATTGAATTGACACCAAATTTTAGTATGCTATGGTAGATATTGTTTAAGGACCTTAGGAACTTACTAGTGAAAATCTAGTGATTGGATCTTACGGAGCAAGTGACGTAAGATCATGGACCCTACCTCTGAACGACGGTTTGATCCCTCATTAAATGTTGTTGTGGGAAACATATGAGAGTTTTTGAGTATGTAATATGGTTATTACCTTGATTTCTTATATTGGTATCATCTGTGAATATGACTTGGTTTTATAATGTGATTTCTATTGAAATGTGATTATATATATATATATATATATATATATATATATATATTTAGCCATAGACCTATGTTATTAAACATGATTTGGCTTGTGTACAGATGATGATCGTGATATGTGCTTGACGTGCATATTTGAAAGGTGGTTGATTTGTATGATATGATGAAATGTGAGTGACTTTAATATATGTGAATATGAAATGGTTTTATAATTATGTTTCCTATAAATTGTTAATTTTTACATTTAGCCATCGATGTAGTTATATGAAGTGGGATTTGACGTGCATATTCGGAATATGGTTTGTTTTGTATGATTGGCTTGATTTAATGAAAGGTGAGGGCTAGTAGTGGACTTTTAACTCATTGTCATGGGGTTTGTTGCTTCGAAACATGTATCAACGCTCATGTCATTATTTCATTCTCGTTCGTTAAGTCTTTGTAACTTGAGTAACTTGATTCATGTGTTGTTTCATTGATTGGTTGTTATGCATTGTGCTCCACGATTCCGTTGAGTGATGGTCCCAGATCGTTCCTACTCCACTCCGTGATTCCGTTGAGTGACGGTTCGGAATCGTATCCTGGTTTGGATTCCGTTGAGTGATGGTCCGGAATCGCATCCCCCTTGGATTTCATTGAGTTTGGTATTGATTTCTTATGTATGATTTATATTCAAGGTTTATAAATTGTGATTGATGGCTGGTTTTATTATTGTATCACATGCTTATATTATTGTCACTCCCCCGAGCCTCGCAGCTTATATGAGTGCCTGATTTGCCAGTGCACCAATCTCATAATGTAGGCATTGACTTTACGTATGACAGGTCTGGGTAGATTACAAGAAACCGCTTGATATTTTAGTTCCGTTGAATGGTCCGGAACCCGATGTTGTTGGATTTCGTTAAGTGGTACGGAATCCTTACTCTTGTTCATTTCCTTAAGGTGATCTTAAAATTCTAAATTCAAGTGGATGGGAATTACCCACAATAGATATTGTGAATATAAATTGGAATTACCATGTTTATTACTCATAATTCAAGTGGGGAATTATATAGAGTTCCTTGGTTAATTCGTGAAATGTTTTGTTATCGCATTGCTTGATTAACGTAATTAAATACTAAGATTGTGCATCTTGATTCACGAATTGATTAATTGACAGGATTGTGGAATGACGTTGGATATGAGTATTGTTATTATGATTATTTTAGTTGATTAATATTTCTAGAGAATAATATTGTGCTTTGTTAATTCTTTAATATGTTACATGCTATGAATTGTGATTTTATGTGGGAACGTGATGATTTATGTGATGGATGAAGTGGAAATGTTATTTGTCTTGTGGGATTATTATGTTGGATATCATTGTTATGGTTATGACTAGACTTGTTGATAAATATGGCGAGAGAATATGATTGTGCTTCGTCGTTTGTATTTTTTGAAGGATTGCATGATATACATTGTGATATTTTGTTGGGACATAACGACTTATGTGATGAATGTTCGAGTATAGTGAAATGATGAACTACGAAGGGCTTGATCCCTGTTGAGGGGTCGTAGGCAGTCTAACGAGGAAGTTAGATGTAGCCATAAAATATTTAGAAATTACTATGCAATTTGGACCTTGAGTGGTAATTTATTCATATCCCGGAGGCGGGGCATGTTAGATATATGAGTATTTGGTGGTGTCACGTGTTGATCCTGGACATATGTCGAGATCGGGACGTGACAAATTGCACTAACCCACCACCTGTAAATGGATCCCCAACCTCCCTGCTCCCATTTTCACCAAATTTTCGAGAGTTTTTTGCCTCGGTTTCCTGAGAATTGAACCGACGACATCACGGGGTTCACGACAACGATTCACCATATTTCAAGGTGATTCCCTTGACCACCACCACCATTCTCTTGAGCCCAGGAACAAACCCTAAACAAGTTTGGAGGCGATGGAGTAGCAAAGAAGACGAATCGAAGTTCACCCATTTTTGGGTTTTCGGCTGATCGAGGTGATTTGAGGTGTTTCCCGGCCGAATTAGACTTCGGACCAGGTATGAAAGTTGTTCCTCTCATTGAGATCTACATGCCAGAAAAATTTGGTAATTTTTAAAGTTAGTCGGAAAATTAGGTTTCCGCTTGTCGAAAACCGCCATCTGTGGCGGCATGTGGCCAATGGGCTGACGGTGCCTCTTTAAGTTAAATTCGATATCCTAATTTCATATTTGATATCTGTTTGATGTGATTTGATTGTTTGAATCTCGTTTCATTAGGGTATGCCACTTGACTATTATAGCGAATGACGATCCGACCGTTGGATAGTCACCAAACCTTAATGCGTTATAGCATATAATATTTGAGGACATTAGAAATTGACAGATTGGGAATTTGATGTATGAATTTTCCCAAATTG